TCATAAGCACTAACTGACCTTAAAACCTTAATTGACCCTACTTATCCATTAGAAGATTGTGAGATAGACAACTTTGGTGTAGTCCTAAGTTGTTTGATACTTGATACTATGCTCATTGAGATTCTACTCTCGGGTTTTGTTTGGTGGCAAGTCAATTACTGTGCTAGACAAAATCTATGGGAAAAATCAGTGATATTGAGATCCCTAGAACCTGGTTACTTCTTTAGAACAGGTTGAGCCAACTAGGGTACTTACCTACAAATCTCATGCAAGCCTCAAACCTAATGCCTTTGTATGTTTTGTTTGTGTTTGATTATCTATTTGAACATGACATCATAACATCCTAACATTATATCATGACTAACTATTTCAAGGATCTAGAGGATTTATCTTTGTTATGTGTTGCAGGGTCATGACTTCTAGTCGTAGGAATACCATCCGGATCAACTTCATAAGGACACCTTCCAAGATTGAGGAATTAGTCTCAATGGTTCCCGACGATTCTTAATTCACCAAGAGGCATGATCATCTACTCAGTTTGGTTACTAGTGGCTTCCAGGAAGACATGATGAGCATTCTTTTCCAGTTCTTTGATCCGAAGCATCACTATTTTACTTTCTTGGATTATCAGTTGGTGCCCACAATGAAAGGATTGTCTAAGTTGCTTGAAGTGCCTATTATTGATCAGATATCCTTCACCAGTCTAGATCAAGTTCCAAGACCCGAAGACGTTGCAGTAGCCTTACATCTAAAATGATCGGACATTGTATCTAATTATGAAACAAGGAATAGAGTCAAGGGTTTCTCTCTTAAATTTCTGATAGAGAAGGCTCAGTGGTTTCTAGATGCCATGAATTTTCGTGCTTTTAAGGACATGTTGGCTTTGCTGATTTATAGGTTGGTACTATTACCTAATCCGGACCAATTCATAAATGTGAATGCCATCAAAATATTTCTCACTCATAATCTGGTACCTACTTTGCTCAGAGATGTCCTGCATTCCTTTCACACTCGTACTATGAAGAAGCAAGGAACTCTTATCTGTTGCATACCTCTACTTTCCAGGTGGTTTATTTCGCACCTGCCTCGATCAGTGATAAAGAACAAACAAGGTTTGAGGTGGTCTCAAAGGTTGATGTCACTCACTCATGCAAATATCCATTGGTGTTCTCGATCTCAGGCAAATGCCCCTGTTATTGATCTCTATGGGGAATTCCCTAATGTACCACTCCTTGGTATAAGAGGAGGCATCACTTATAATCCTTCTCTAGCTCTACGTCAATTTGGTTATGCTCGAAGGGACGATCCTCATGATATGCTCATCTAGGGTATTATGTTCGACTATGAGAACAATTCGCAAAATTACCATCAAAGGTTTATACGTGCTTGGGGCACGGTCAACAAGATTGATAGCAAGACTTTGGGACATAAGAATTCAATTCCTTTAGAGCCTTACCCCAGATGGATGCGGTCTCGTGCTCAGAATCTTAAAATGGCATATCCTTCTATCTTACCAGTGATCATAAAGCCTATTGTTGAAGGGGACATTTCTCATACCATTCTTCATCCCGATATGCCTATTAACTTCTAAGAACTACAAAAGTCCTGGATTCATCTTAAGAAGGAAAGAGATACCTTTGAGGCTCAGTTTTATGCTAGTGAGAAGAAAGTACTAGAGTTGACGAAACGACTCCACGAAGAGCAAACTCTTAATGCACATGTCAACAAAAAGATGAAGTGTCCATGGGAGACTTGAATTCATATTTTGCTGTTTTGTAACTCTTTTTATTGAAAGCAATTATAATTTGAGCTTGTTGCTAAAATTTCGTTTGTTTCCCTTTGTTTAAACAAATTTAAATCCCACAACGGTCCTTGAAAATATTGTACTTACATTTGCATATCATGCATAATCACATAACAGGTACTCTATAGACAAGTTTTCTCATCTTCTTGCTGTTTATTTCAGTAGAAGATAGCTCTAGAACAAATTGTCAAGGAACTCTAAGCACAGAATGCCCAATTCCAAGAAACCCTCTTGAACTTTGCCCAAGGGAAGAAAGATATGATGACGCTCATCGCCAAAAAGAAGAAGACTCGGAAGCCAATTTCTATCCTCAATATGGGGAGAAGATTCAAAGGTCCCGCTAAACCAGTTCAAACTGTTGATATCTCCTCTGATGAAGATGACAATCAAGAGGAAGACGATATAAGTGTTAAGGCTGAAGGTGAAAGCAATCAAGGTTCTGGAAAAATTCCTGAGGATAAAGACTATTATGATGAGCAGTATCCTCCAGCGGATGATAGATACAAACAATTGAAAGATCGCCTCAAGGCCATGGAAATCCAGAAAGTGCCTGGATTAGATTTTGAAGAGATGGTTCTTATTCCGGGGGTAGTTATCCCTCACAAGTTCAAGGTCCCCACTTTTGCTAAATATGATGGTGTTTCTTGTTCCAAACTTCATCTGAGGTCTTATGTTCGGAAGATCCAACTCCATACTGCTGACAGAAAGTTATGGGTTCACTTCTTTCAGGAAAGTTTGTCTGGTACATAACTTGAATGGTTCTATCAACTAGAAGGAACCAACATTCGTACTTGGGAAGACTTGGATGCTGCTTTTTACAAGCAATATCAATACAATGCTGACCTTGCACCAACTCGCGTGCAATTACAAAACATGACTACGAAATCGAATGAATGGTTCAAAGATTATACCCAAAAGTGGAGAGATTTGGCTGGACGAGTTCAACCTCCACTGTCTGATAAGGAGCTAGTGGATATGTTCATGGACACTCTGATAGGTCAATTCTTTAACCACCTGATTGTAAGTTCTTCATTTGGTTTCACGGAGCTGATTCTAACTGGAGAACATGTCAAAAGTGGTATCAAGAGTGGAAAAATTCAAGTGACTGCATCTTCGAATGCTGTGAAGAAGACATTCAGTGGTAAGAAGGATACCAATGTTGTTTATGGCCAGAAGAGCCGTGTTAAAAGTGACCGCAATCAGTCTATAAGAGAGGTGCTAATTTCTAATCCTGCACCTGTTTAACAACAACAACATGGCAATCAGCGTAGGTCAAACGCTCCGAGAAGACAGTTTACGAAGATCAGTATGCCATTGTCTCAGACATTACAACATTTACTAAAAGCAGAGCTGATAACATTGAGGGAGCCTCCTCAGAATCTCAACACCTTCTCTCCTCGTTACAATCCGAATGCAAAGTGTGCCTACCATTCCAACAGTCCTGGGCACGATACCAATAATTGCTGGGCCCTGAAAAACAAAATTCAGGATATGATTGACAACAAAGAGAATGAGTTTGATCGTCCGGAGACCCCGAATGTGATTACCGCGCCTATGCCAAAGCATGACAAAGACATAAGTGCTATTGGCGATATTTTTTATGTTGCTACCATAAGTGAATTGGTTACTCCCCTATCAATCATCAAGAAGAATCTGTTGCAGACCAGTTTATTTTCGGAATGTGTTGAAAAATATTACTGCTGCGCAGTCCAACCCAATGGCTACAAGTATGGGTGTTTGCGGTTCGGTTTGGATCGGTTTTAAGACAAAAAATCATCCGATCCAAAGATAAATTTATTTGCGGTTTGGTTTGGTTTTGGATGATATATTAAAAAAATCCAATCCAATCCAATCCAATTTTATGCAGTTTAATTTGAATTGATTTTTAGATATCTAAATTACACATTATATTTTTATTAATATTATAAAACTACTAATAAATCATAGATTTGATATAGTATTTAACATATAGTATATTAAAAGTTAATATTACAAAATGAGAGTGATTGGTTATGATTGAAATAATAAAAATAAATAAATTATACCAAACTAATAACTATTATTAAAAAAATTATTATTATCTAATAATAAATTCCCGTAACTTATCGTACTAATAAAAAGTATATATATATATATATATATATATATATATATATATATATATATATATATATATATATATATATATATATATATATATATATATATATATATATATATATATATATATATATATATATATATATATATATATATATATATATATATGCAGTTTGGTTTAGTTTGAATCGATTTTGAAAAATTAATTCGAAATCTGATCCGAACCAATCGGTTTTTTGAAAATGATATCCAAACACATATAATAAATTTTAATTTTTTGCGATTTTCGATTTTTTGAATTAATTTTCAATTTTTTATTTAAATTGATTTAGATTTGAACATATCTAACTAGAAGTTGCTCAACCCATGTTAACTTTTTCTCTTAAATTTAATCCAATAATAATAGACTATAAATACCAGTTACAAAGCAATGTTTTACTTTACCCACGTTAAAGTTAAAGTTGCTCTTAAGATATCAAGAAAATACAATACAATTATTCAGAAAAAAAAAAAGAAAGAAGAAAAACTATACTAGCAGTATATTTTTAATCCTAAAAAAAGAGAGACAGAGGTAAAGTACATTCAAAGCTCATGTGCGCGCGCGAGAAGCATACGGCGGTGATCGGCGGATCTTGGTGGTGGAGTCCTCGCAACAGAGAACAAACTAAGTATTTTTTTTTTTAATTTTAAATTTCTTAAATAATGAGGCTGGATTTTGACACTTACAAATTATAACCTCACATCTGTGTTCGAAAATCAATTGCTTATGAAGCTTATCTGTTTGTGAAAATTCCTGACTGAGGCATTACATGTATAATACATGCAGAATAGTCCAAATGTTGACTTGTACGTATAATCAGATTAACCGTTTTAAACGGGTTGATATGATTAAAGGTGTTTGTATTTTAGCACATTAATAATGATGATTTACTCCGATAATCATGCATTAAGAACTTTCTTTGTCTTTTCTCAAAAGAAGAAAGAAAGAACTTTCCTTGCCTCTTAAATTCCAAATACATGCTATATATGTTCTGACTCTTTAGCTCTAATTTATTGATATTATCTTAACTTCTGTTTTCCTTGTTAATATTAAGATATGAGGACTTTCTCTCAGTTTCTCTTCCTTTCACTCATTGCCATATGTTTCATATCTCTAACAGCTTTTGGTGCTGATACTATTCACCCTCGCGAAAGTATGATTTCTATTTCTATCACTGCTCCCTCATCGTGATGAGCTTTCTTGAATCTGATCTTTTTTTTCTTGTTTTTTCTATCTAAGGATTCATGTTAGTTTGAGTAACATGTATTTTACTGCTTGATGACATGTTCATGTACTTTAAAATATTTTTCAGCACTTAGCTTATTGCTTCTGAATTGTATATTTAGAGGAAGCTCTTGAAGATATAGCTAAATCACTTGGGAAGAAGGATTGGAACTTTGATATTGATCCCTGCAGCAACAAACCTAACTGGGTTACCCCTCCCATATCCAAATTCGTAGAAAATAGCGTCACCTGTGACTGCTCTGTTGCTGATGACAACTTCTGCCATGTTGTTTCAGTGTAAGTCTATTTTCCATAGAAGTGACCCTTTGCTATCACCACTTCTAATTAATTTAAATTGTTTTTTTTTTCTTTCTATTTTTAGTACTCAAGTATTTACATTTATATACAGGTAGGAGTTGATATTGTATATCTGTTTATACATGAGTTACCATGTAGTAAACTTAACCGATATTCTTATAGTTATACATCTATAAAATTGCTACCCCTTATAGTCAAACTGAAATTTGAAAGTAAAATCAAATATTCTCAAAGGCATGTATTTTTACTAAAATTATGTTTGACAAATAGTAATATCGGTTTTAAGACAATCTGTAGTAGAAGAGCTTGTTGTAGTTTTACTCTTAAATCTATTGGCTAAGAAATCTATTAGAAATTTAGAATTAATTACTTTATTTTGCTTATTGTTTATGTTTAACCTTTTCATCCTAAACTGTTCATACAGAACTATGAAAGGGCAAAATCTGCTTGGCACTCTCCCACGAGAACTGACCGGGTTGCATTACCTTCAAACTATGTATGTAATTCTCAAAATTTTCCTCACATCCAAATTGACAATATTACTGAACTTGTTTTATATCTTCAATCACATGTCTCTCTATATATTATTTTGCTCAATAAACTATCTCTCTCCCTCTATTACAGTGACCTCTCTCGCAATTACTTGAATGGCACAATTCCAAAAGAATGGGGCTCCATGATGAATATTAGAAAAATGTATGATTTGTCTCTTATTTTTCTGCTCTGATTTTTAATCATTGGTTGTTCGATATATTATACGATGTTGATCTTGACACATGGGCCTTATTTTACATTTTTTATAATACTTTGCAACACAATAAGTTAACGATTACATGTCTCTTAATGATCATCATAGTGCCCTCCCCGAAAATCGTTTATCAGGTTCAATACCAGCTGAGATTGCAAACATATCTACTCTCCAAATTTTGTGAGTTTCTCATTGCCTACCTTTTTGGGAAAAAATCCATTTATAAGTACAAAAACATGATAATGTTTAATTCAAAGAGTTTCAGTAGAACTTAACTTTAACTTGAAATGGATAGGGAGTTATGGAACAATCAGTTGTCTGGAAATCTTCCTCCTGAGCTTGGGAATCTAACCCAAATTCTAACACTGTAAGCACTTAATTTTTCCCCTTAGTTGATGTTCTCCCTAAAATATCAAAGTTCAATGTTCAAAAACCCACTTTGATTTCCATGGCTTAGAATCATAATTTACTATTTGTTGTTCATTGATATATAGGCGAATTTCCTCTAACAATTTTATTGGAGAACTACCTGGGACATTGACCAAGCTCACTACATTGCAAGATTTGTAAGATTCAAATTTTTATGGTGCTGTTTACTGAGACTAACTTATAAAGTAGTTTTTATGATGCTCCAAATTTTCACGCTCTATCTCAATGCAGCCGAATTGAGGACAACCAATTCTCTGGAAAGATACCTGATTATATTCAGAACTGGATAAATATCAATACACTGTATTCACTCTCCTTTTTTATTTTAATTTTTGCTCAAATTTAATTGGTTTTTGTTTTGCTTGGCCTTTTAAAATAATTATCGATGATTACTTTACGCTTGACAGAGTGATTCAAGGAAGTGGATTAAGTGGGCCGATTCCTTCTGGAATTTCTCTTTTAAGAAACTTAACTGACTTGTATGTATGATATTTTATACATTGGTAAAGCAAGGGTTGGAATTTAACTTTCATTTTAATATGTTTATTTAACTGTGATTCAAATGTGATATTCAGGAGAATTAGTGATTTGAATGGATTTGAGTATGCACCTTTGCCCGAACTTAATAAAATGACTTCGTTAAAAACTCTGTGAGTTGATTCCTCCTCTGCCTCTCTCAGAAATAGAAAAGAAATAAAGCATTAAGAGAGACACTCATAGTATATTGTCTATTTTGTTGTCACAGGATTCTGAGGAACTGCAACATCAATGGAAAATTATATGAGTATCTTGGGACTATTGCATCTTTAAAAATATTGTAATTGCTTTCTTACTGCATTTTATTTGCTTTCTAACACACTTTCTTTTCTTTTATTGGTTTAAAATTCACATGGGTCCTATCAAACTTATATTGGATCCATATAATTTGGAGGAACCCATATGTATATTTAACCAATAAAAGCAAGTGTGTGTTAGCGAGTATGTTGATTTAACTTTAACTCATTCTCAATATGATATCTCTTTCAGGGACCTCAGTTTTAACAAATTAAGTGGAACAATTCCGAGTACCTATGCTGCGATGAACAGTTCGAATTACATGTAAGAAATACATTGTAGTTTCTTAGCGCAACTCTTTTTTTAGGATATATTTATAGTCATATATATCCCTTGGCTTTAAACCTACAATAGTTTCAACTTTTAGTCTGAAGTAGGATAGCTGAATAATCTACTTAGATTCATGAGGATTGAACTCAACCTAAATACATGAATAAATGTCAACCTTATGGAGCTCAAATAGTGCACACCAAGTTTCCATTGTTAAATGCAAAAGAATTTAATTAATGTCATGTTGGAATTTAAATTTCATGTTGGAACTTAATCAACTATATGGGTGCAACACGTTAAGGGCCACACAAACATCTGTCTGTGGATTTTGTTTCAAAAGTTCAAGCTAAGGTAATTGCACCATTCTATTGCAACTTTTTTGTTATCAAAAGATTACACTCATTTTATACGAGAAGTAAAAAAATCCACGAGAAAGAAGACGACCGTAATATATGGTGTAATATTGAGAGTTGGTGTCTAAGAATTAAAACACTTTTTATAGAACAGTCCCTCAAGACAGTTAACTAAATCAATTCAATATAACTAGCCTATATCCCTTAATGTTCGGTCTAGCTCAATAAAGACTAACCTTTTTAAACTGATATCTTGATTTTCTTTTATGATAGATTTCTTACTGGAAACCTTCTCACTGGACTAGTGCCTCCTACTTGGAGAAAGAATACCTACGTGTGAGTCATCTTTTTAATCGTCCAGTTTTTTCTTTTTTCTTGCTTCCCTGCATTTCCCCTTTCTTTCTATTCAAGAATTGTTGATTTAGCCGTGAAGTTCCTACTTGGTTCGCATTAAATGTATGATCACCACACACCAACTATGCTGCAATGATTATTTATTTATTTATCACTAAATTAAAGCTTATAAATAATGATATGATATGCAAATAATATCTAAAGCATTAAAGCTTTTTTCAGAAGTACTAACTACAGTTTAATCCGTTATTGTTGGCGGAATTTCCATCACACCCCTTCACACTCAGTTCTCAATGGACTGAAGCGTGGGAGATGCGGGAAGCCCAACACAACAGATTTAAAATAAGTTGTGATACCATAGGACCAAGACGATAGAACCAACAAATAGATCATAACTAGGTTACTAGGAAATCGTTTTCAAACTTTTTGCTCTTGAAGTATGATTGTGCAATTGTTTACTACCTAAAAGATATTTCTATTGAAGGTCGCCAAATATTTCATTAAGTCTCTGATTGTTGTATTGTATTATTATAATATTCTCAATCAAATTTTATGACTTCTATATAGAGATCTTTCATACAATAACTTCAGCATCAGCCAGGGGAGTCAGATATGTCGAGATGACAGTGTGTAAGAATCCTTGCATTTGTGTTCATTTCTTTGCAAACTTTGAACCTTCCTGAGATACCATCTTCTCTAATACATATCTCAGGAACTTGTTTTCTACCTCATGGGCACACAATGACCTGTAAGTTGGGTAGTATAAATACTAAAACACACTCACACACATATAAGTATCAGGACTGATCCAAGAGGAATTGAGGTCTAAGGAGAATTTTTAAATGAGACTTATTCAAAGTTATAATAGTATTTTTTTTCAAACATGACTGTTTTTATTTAGGTTTAAATAGGTAAATCGTCCCTATAAATTAATGAATTTTTTATTTTCGTCCCTATATATATATCTTCCTTAAAATAATCCCTGAATGTTAAAATCCTTTTGGCATTCATCACTAACATTAAAATCCAGAGCAAAATCCATAGGTAAAAAGGGTTAAAATCCTTTTTTACCTGCGAATTTTAACGTTAGGGACGAATACCGAAAGGATTTTAACATAGGGATTATTTTAAGAAAAACAAAGATTTAGGGACGAAAATAAAAAAACTTGCTAACTTACAGGGACAGTTTACTTATTTAAGCCTTTTATTTATTTCAATTTTTATGAAGTCTTACAATTCAAATCATTTATTAAAATAATATTATTGATTTTGTTTAATATTTATTTTTTCAGTTAATAATAAGTTCAATAGATTTAATCTTTATTGAACTAATATTAGTTTAAACATATTTATTAATTTTAATTTTGAACATAATAAAATTTGAGGCCTTTTTATCATGTAAAAATTTTGTATTTTTGGAAGGCCGAGACTACTGACTTGGTGGCCTTGCCCTTGGACCGGCCCTGATATATCCTTTCCATTACCCTCTTATGATGAGATGAATCTTCTTTTACTAATCATGCTAACTTATTCTATTTCTTTCATCATTATCTCAGAGGAACAGTTTCGTGTTTGAGCCTTAAATGTCCTAAACGTGAGTTTCTTCCTGGTGACTTTCCTTTAGACAGCTAAGATCTCACTATTCTTTTACATTTTTTTAATAAATCATGATTATTTTTTACTTTGGACAAACTACAATCAAGTTGTGTATAAACAAAATCAGTAACAATAAATCATGATTGTCTCCTTTAATCTTTGTTTGTAGTGGGAAAAAAACATGATGGATAAAAAGAGAGTGAGTGTATAAAATAAAATTTCAAGGAACATATTTTTCTTTATTTGGTTTTCTTAATTTCTTTAATATTTAAATGTTGCTCGCATGCTCTGCTCAATCCAGCCTCCAACTCCCTTTATATAAATTGTGGTGGAAATCAAGCAATAGTCAACCGAGCAACTTATGACGGTGATTCAGATTCATATGGACCAGCTAGATTCCATGCCAGTCCAACAGGAAATTGGGCATTTAGCAGCACTGGTGTATTCATTGAAAGTGATATACTTGGAAGAACTTTTACCCCACAAAATATCTCTAAACTTACTATGGCAGATGCTGAGTTGTACATGAATGCGCGTATTTCACCTATTTCTTTGACTTATTATGGGTTTTGCCTGGCAAGTGGAAGCTACACAGTAAATCTGCATTTTGCTGAAATAATGTTCACAGACGATCAAACTTATGGTAGTCTTGGAAGACGCGTATTTGATATTTATATTCAGGTACATGGTCTAAAATATTTCTTTCAATAGTCAACTAACCACTATTCACTAGATTCCTATAGGGACTATGTTGAACTATTTTTCCAATTAAAATACGCAGAATATCTCACTAAAAACTGAATCTTTTTCTGATTAAGACTTCACTGATAAAATTCTACACTTTTTCTAAAACAGCATGACAATTAAAGTTGTTGGTTGTAATCATCATGAAGCATTAAGGGTGGAATTGTAATGTTGCAGGGAAAGCAGATGCAAAAGGACTTCAATATTGCAGAAGAAGCAGGAGGAGTTGGTAAGAAAATCATTAAACAGTTCAAAGATGTTGTTGTTTCTAGTAATACTTTGGAGATCCGTTTATATTGGGCTGGAAAAGGGACACAGGCTGTCCCAAATAAATCAGTATATGGTCCTCTTATATCGGCTATCTCAGTGGAATCTGGTGGGTTATACTATGTATGTTCCTAATCTTATACAATGATCTCCAAGGTATGACCTAATATTAAAATGTCTTGTATATATAATCAAGCAGACTCTCCACCTGGAAGCATATCTGCAGGAGTTGTGGTTGGAATTGTGGTTGCAACAACAGTTATTATCATTCTAGTATTTGGTATACTTTGGTGGAAAGGATGTTTTGGAAAGAAAAACTCATTAGCAAGAGGTGATTACAAATTAATTTCTTTTTTTGCCATTATCATAAAAAATTTGCTAAGCCAAGAATTATTCAAGTGATACAAAATAAACTTGCCCATGTTGTGTTGTCGAGTAAGTATGAGGACATACTTTTCTTAGTATATCATTTTATGGAACCTGAGACTAGTTTTATTTTATTAAAAGAAAGTTGCAGGCTTACCAAAAAAAAGGAAAAGGGATTGTCAATGGAGAGTGTCCATGTGTAATTTTCTTTGTTCAAAAGTTTTTTGATCTTTCTGTTACTTCAATTAACAGAGTTGGAGAGTTTAGACATTCAAACAGGTTTATTTACCTTAAGACAAATCAATGCAGCTACAAATCATTTTGATATTTCCAATAAGATTGGAGAAGGAGGATTTGGTCCCGTGTACAAGGTATTTTGCATAATATAACAAATTCTCTCGCGTGTCACCCTGTTACAATAAATTTACATATATTTTTCAGAAAAGTCTTTTTCAAATCCTAACAGAATAGCATTCCTCGAACTGCAGGGATGCTTACCAAATGGGACACTGATAGCAGTAAAGCAACTTTCTTCTAAATCAAGGCAAGGGAATCGTGAGTTTTTAAATGAGATAGGCATCATTTCTGCTTTGCAACACCCTAATCTTGTTAAACTCTGCGGTTGTTGTGTGGAGGGAGATCAGTTGTTGCTTATATATGAATACTTGGAAAACAATAGTTTAGCACGTGCTTTATTTGGTAATTTTTCTTATATGGTCTACTTCGTGTTCCTATTTATGTGACATTTCATGTTTTTTTATCCATGACTGTTACTACTTGCACAAATAAAGGTCCAGAAGAACACCAAATAAGATTAGATTGGTCAACAAGGAAAAAGATCTATGTTGGTATTGCTAGAGGTTTGGCATACCTCCATGAAGAATCAAGATTGAAGGTTGTTCACAGGGACATCAAAGCCACTAATGTGTTGCTTGATAAAGATCTTAACCCAAAGATATCTGATTTTGGTTTGGCCAAGCTTGATGAGGAGGACAATACTCACATTAGTACTAGAATTGCTGGGACCTAGTAAGTAACTATAATTCTTGTCATCTCCTAGTTTATTAAAAAAATACTGCAAAAGTTATTATATTAAATTCAAATTGCATATTTTTGTTTACTAAATGTCTGATATCAAGTTGTATATATCAAAGTCATTTCAATGAGACGTTCCAATTATGTAGTGGATATATGGCTCCTGAATATGCAATGCATGGTTATTTGACGGACAAGGCTGACGTTTATAGTTATGGAATTGTGGCCTTGGAAATTGTTAGTGGAAGGAGCAACACCCTTTATCAGTCAAAGGAGGAACCATTCTATCTTCTTGATTGGGTAACTTTTTTATGTTCTCCTTTGATCATGTAAATTTGATTATCCATAGTAAACAAAAACGTGACCAATTTCATAATTTGATGAATTTTCAGAAGTTGAATGTATCTATTGTAAATGACTTGGGTTCAAATCAAACTATTATTCTTTGTTTTCTTTCCCCTTTCAACAGGCACATTTATTGAAGGAGAGGGGTGACCTAATGGAGCTAGTTGATAGAAGATTAGGTTCTGATTTCAACAAAAAGGAAGCTATGGTGGTAATCAATGTGGCTCTCCTATGCACCAATGTCACTTCAAATCTTAGGCCCGCCATGTCGTCAGTTGTAAGTTTCCTTGAAGGGAGGGCTGTGGTACCAGAATTTGTTTCAGATTCAAGTGAAGTAATGGATGAAAAGAAGTTGGAAGTAATGAGGAAGCATTACTTACAAACACAAAGTCAGTGCTTAATAAGTGATGGGCCATGGACTGCCACATCTTCATCAGCTGTAGACCTTTATCCTGTCCACCTTGATTCTTCCTATTGGGAAGAAAGAAATTAAGAGTTTATCAACTGCCAATAATATATATGCCTTGTGATGAAACTGTGATGCATTTAAAATAGAGTACTCCATCCCTATTTATAAATCGTGTTGTCATTCTAAGTGTTGTATTTATCCAATATATCCGTTTTGTTGAATACAGAGTGCTCATACAGTTTTTGATAGTTAAACAGCTTCATCATCTGTATGATGAAAAGATTTGACCCTCTAAGGTCACATTCAAATATTATAACTATTTGATTCCATTAAAAGTTGTTGGTTTCTTGAATGTTATAAAATTAATTGACTTAACATTATAAGAGCTATGTTAACAACATGTTAGTTGTTGGTTCTCCTATTCTTGCATCTAGTTTGCACAGATTAAGCACCACTAAAGGATAGAATTATCATACCATAGAAAACAATATGCATCGTTTCAGCCTTTATGTATGTTTTAGTCTTTTTAGTTTTTATAGCTTTAAAGAGGTCCTTTTAGTGACCAAACTTTTGCAATATTGGTCAAAATCTAAACCTGTTTAAAAAAAAATGATGTTTCAGGTGATTTACCCACGTCGCAATTAACTTATGAGGTGAATTAAAATGTTTGACCATTCACCACTAAAGACTCAGATGATACAAATTAAATATTTTTCAAATAAAATCTAGAAAAGTGTTGGAATCCATGGAATACAACCCACCAACTCTTTCATTTCCATCTCTAATTTTGACATTGAGATAGGTGTCATCAATCCAATGCAATTCGTTATTTATTTATTTATTTTATTTTCACTAATTAATTTTATTTGACCAATGATGAAAGTTGTTTTTTTTATTGTCAAGGGTATCATTATGTCTCGATTATGAAGATCCTTGATTTGAGAGTTTTTGGTATTTAATCCCCTATCTCATTAGTCGGTGGGAGTCTTATGTGTTGGATAAAATGATGCCAGTTATATTTAAAGGGAATTATTAATCCAACTTAAGGGTGGAAAAACACTAAGAAAATTTTAAATTGTTCAATGCACTCTTTGCTTCAATCAAAATGTTAATACTGAGGGCACCTAATATATGTTTCAAAATTTATTTCGAAGATATATTTATAGAATAATTTAATATACATACCATGTATTCCTCGCTAAAACACATTTTTTGTCACAAATTATTCTGAAGATGCATCTTTGTATTCACATCAGACAAAATTTAAAGAGGTGTCTCCGTAACCACACAAGACAATGGTTTTTTGACTTTGATTTGGAGAATCTTTAATAAATTAGACGATATATTATAGCGATACTATAATAAATTAGACCATACAACCAATATGAAAAAATGACATAAATAAAGTAATAAATCTATAGTACACAATAACATTGAAATAAGTCAAAAATAAAATACAACCGATAATAAATTAAGAATACAAATACTATAAACTACTGCGTATGACAAACTCGGGACTCCTTGTTCCTACGTTGTCTCCTGTACTATGGTGTCTCACGTGTCTTCGCCATCATGGCATCTACAACGTCCCTGACCTCACAGTCATCTAAAAAGAGCCCTATATCAATACTCGTCTGCCAATCTCTAAGATACGACGACATCTAGGCAACACATCGACAATATGATATGTCCCAGTCTGCTCCTCCTCTACTATCTTCTAATGAGTTGGTCTCGGTGAATCTCCTGAAGCATTTTGTATCCTATAAAGATGTGACATCTTGAAGAACCATCAGATATAACCGTCTGCGTTACTCTAATTCTCTGAATGGTACTCTGTGCCTTCTCCTATAATTCTCACATTAGTACTAGAATTGCTGGGACCTAGTAAGTAACTATAATTCTTGTCATCTCCTAGTTTATTAAAAAAATACTGCAAAAGTTATTATATTAAATTCAAATTGCATATTTTTGTTTATTAAATGTCTGATATCAAGTTGTATATATCAAAGTCATTTCAATGAGACGTTCCAATTATACAGTGGATATATGGCTCCTGAATATGTAATACATGGTTATTTGACGGACAAGGCTGACGTTTATAGTTATGGAATTGTGGCCTTGGAAATTGTTAGTGGAAGGAGCAACACCCTTTATCAGTCAAAGGAGGAACCATTCTATCTTCTTGATTGGGTAACTTTTTTATGTTCTCCTTTGATCATGTAAATTTGATTATCCATAGTAAACAAAAACGTGACCAATTTCATAATTTGATGAATTTTCAGAAGTTGAATATATCTATTGTAAATGACTTGGGTTCAAATCAAACTATTATTCTTTGTTTTCTTTCCCCTTTCAACAGGCACATTTATTGAAGGAGAGGGGTGACCTAATGGAGCTAGTTGATAGAAGATTAGGTTCTGATTTCAACAAAAAGGAAGCTATGGTGGTAATCAATGTGGCTCTCCTATGCACCAATGTCACTTCAAATCTTAGGCCCGCCATGTCGTCAGTTGTAAGTTTCCTTGAAGGGAGGGCTGTGGTACCAGAATTTGTTTCAGATTCAAGTGAAGTAGTGGATGAAAAGAAGTTGGAAGTAATGAGGCAGTATTACTATCAGAAGGAAGAAAATAAGATAAGTAGTACGCCACAAACACAAAGTCAGTGCTTAATAAGTGATGGGCCATGGACTGCCACATCTTCATCAGCTGTAGACCACACAAGACAGTAGTTTTTGACTTTGATTTGGAGAATCTTTAATAAATTAGACAATATGTTACAGCGATACTATAATAAATTAGACCATACAACCAATATGAAAAAATGACATAAATAAAGAAATAAATCTATAGTACACAATAAAATTGAAACAAGTCAAAAATAAAATACAACCGATAATAAATTAAGAGTACAAATACTATAAACTACTGCGTATGACAAACTCGGGACTCCTTGTTCCTACGCTGTCTCATGTACTACGGTGTCTCACGTGCCTTCGCCATCATGGCATCTACAACGTCCCGGACCTCACAGTCATCTAAAAAGAGCTCAATATCAATACTCGTCTGCCAATCTCTAAGATACGATGACATCTAGGCAACACATCGACAATATGATATGTCCAAGTTTGCTCCTCCTCTACTATCTTCTAATGAGTTGGTCTCGGTGGATCTCCTGAAGCATTTTGTATCCTATAAGGATGTGACATCCTGAAGAACCATCAGATATAACCGTCTGCGTTACCCTAATTCCCTGAATGGTACTTTGTGCCTTCTCCGATACCAGATGATTAAGATAATCATCACACATAACATCTATATCTCTATGTGTCATAGCAGGATGAGCATACACAAAAAGTTCTCTAGAAATATATTGCATGTAGTCGAATTGCTGCATGATGCGCTCAAGAAGATGAGGATACGTCAGGCGTGAACCGCAAGTCAACCAACTAAAGTAGAAGGTAATGTCATCCAAGGGACACATCTCAGGATGAGTGACGTAAGAATGGAAATGTATGTCATCTGCTACCAAGCGGCTTAGATACACTCGATATGGCTTCATCTTATAATTCCCTCTGAACAGAGCAAATGCCGAAGCACGTGGCATATTCTCAATGTATGTCAGAATATATGACCAATCAGATATGTGTTGGAAGTGCTAGAAGATACAGTCCTAAAAATGAAACATATGAATAATTATTAGTGGTGTTGCAAAAGTGTTATGAAAATGACTTACAAACATTAAAAGGCCAAGAAATATTATCGTCAACATATTCTCAATGTATGTCGAAAGATATGACCAGTCAGATATGTGTTGGAAGAGCTAGAAGATCCAAGGCTAAAAATGAAACATATGAATCATTATTAGTGGTGTTGAAAAAGTGTTATGAAAATGACTTACAAACATTAAAAGGCCAAGAAATATTATCATCAACAGTGTGATGATGTTTGTCACCTATTTGATTTTCCACATACAACCTTCAGATAAGTCAATATTGATGGTGTGAAAAACACAAGAAAGGGGGTTTGAATTGGATTTTAAATTTAAAAAAAAAATTCTTAAAAAGAATTCCCTTTAACTAAAAATAGTTTTTCTTCACTATTGATAATAATTCTAAGGATGCAAGAAAGAAAGAACAAGTTATGTTTATACTAGTTCACTTGAAAATTATCAAGCTAATCTAGTCCACCCACCAAGGTGATTTCGCCTTATCAAACAAGATCTTAATCCAATAATCTCACAGATTATTACAATGTACAAGCGAACTGTAAGTGAATCACGTAGAACCTCTAAGACACACTAATCTTAGACTTCTCAAGGATACTGACCAACTGTTCTCTTAAGGTACAATCAAACAACAATTTGAAAAAGATTTGTTTATAATAGATTTGCTTCTGCACAAGCTGATAGTAAATATTATTTCAAGAACAATAGACTTAAGAAAATAAAGGAATGCTTATGAACAGTCTTAGAGAGAACGTGTGAATTAGCAGTCTTTTCCCTTTGTCTTCAAGTATATAAATAGCCAATAAAATAATATATTCGTTGGAGGGAATTTTTGGAAATTCCAGAAAGCTGGAAGCTTGTTTCAACATGGAGGACAAGATCGTACAACGCGTCTGTCCTTTCATGGTAGTGGAGAGAAACGTTTGTTTGTACCATGTACTTTTATACCACGTAACCTTATCTTCTTATATTCTTGACTTCAGAGGCTTCTAACTAAGCATGAGTTAGAAGGAAGAAAATAAAACTTGGGTCATCATAACTTCAATTCTTCAGAGTCTTCAGAACTTCGTCTTCAGAGTCTTCAGAATTTCGTCTTCAGAGTCTTCAGAACTTCGTCTTCAGAACTCCGTCTTCAGAGTCTTTAGAACTTTCTCTTTAGAGTCTTCAATACTTGGTCTTCAGAACCCTTTGTCTTTAGAAAAATAAGTCTTCAACATCTAGACTGTTCATCAGAACTTTTGTCTTCAGATCTTCAGAACTTGGTTTCTTTGACCGTGTATCAGAGTCTAAACTTTAGAGCCTTCTGAAGTGGTTTGCTACCGTTCATCAGAACATGTGTAGCGCAAAAGAGGAACTTGGTC